GAAAGGGAAATTATTTTTCTTACTAACAAGTAAGAATAAAACAAAAGCATATACATATAATTCCAAATATACAAAATTCCACACCACAATATAGATAAATATATACATAAGTAACTATATGTATATATATATATAGGTCTAAAATAAGTGATAGTGATACTGTCAATAATTTAGTTAGAATTTACAGATAAATAGAATATGATTTTTTTTTACAAATTCAAGACACAGCTATACACAGAGCATAAACTCACTACAAATTACACTATTACTTTATTCTGGCCCCCAAATAATATTTCGGCCCAATAAAAGAATTTCAGACCAAAAAAATATGTTTTTACTTTTTTAGTCATTTAAAAAAAAAGTGGATTTTTTAAAAGAATTCAACACTTTTTAATAACTTTTTTAAAAATTGAATGTGTTTTTTGTCGTTTTGAACCCACAAAACACTTTTTTGGGGAGAGAATAAGAGCTATTCCTTTAGTTTTGCCGGTGCCAGACTAGAGTTTCTCAGCTTTAAGTTGCACATCCTGGAGATAGCCGCTGACTTCCGTCCAGAATCAGGAAAAAGTCAAAAACCCGCGTCCAGAAGAGGACAGGAGTCAGACTCCTCTGGCCTAAAGAAGCCACCAGCTTTAACTCATAACTTGCACATTTTACAGCGGTCTGCTGCCGCCATTCTGTGCCTTAAACGAAACTCCCGAATCACCTCATGTGGGTTTGTCCCCCTTTTCTGCAAACATGTTCCAAATACAGTGGGGGAAATAAGTATTTGACCCCTTGCTGATTTAGCAGGTTTGCCCACTTAGAAAGAATGCTTATTTTTCCTCATCAGATGGTTATCAATTTTTATAAATTCATATGATGTGATTTTCTGGAATTTTCTTTGGGATTCTGTCTTTCACTGTTAGAATGTACATATGATTAAAGTTATAGATCGTTGCATTCTTTGTAAGTGGGCAAACCTGCAAAATCAGCAAGGGCTCAAATACTTATTTCCCCCACTGTAGGTGCCAATTATACTAATTTACATTTTAAAGTGTACAAATAAAGAGCAAATGCAGCAGTTTTCTCAGAATAAAAACACATCTGTAGCTGAAAACTGGTGTTTTCTAGGCTCTTTGTGTTTAAAGACGATTCAGAGAGGAACACGCTGGGAAATGAGCTGGTTGTGAGAGTCCAGCTGTGGGTTTGAGATTACAGGGGCCCTGTTTTGGATAAAAGTCCAAACCCCCGCCCAGACGAGGACGTCTTCACCAAACAGCCGCTCCGAATTTTGAATTTTTCACTCGTGGGACTCGGTGAGCTCAAAAAAAAGAAAAAAGAAGAAAAAAAGCTTTACACAGAATCTTTCCAAAGTTTTTCCTTTGTTGTGACTTCAGTTTTGTGGCCTTTTGCTTAACTTTTCTGGGTTTATAAAAAGTTCACTAATTTTTTTTGTCACTTATGGGTTTGGGGTCTATTTTATTTTGTTCTTTTTAGAATATTTTGATTAAAATATGTTCAAACTGACCTGGGATTTTGCACTATCTGGTCAGAGCCGAAGGATAGCTAAATACTTTGTGGCCTTCCTGTTATCTACATGTTCCTCCTGTTCTTGTTATTCTCATGTTGCTATCTTTGTAATGGAATTCCTTTGGCAAAATTATATATATTCAAAGTGTATTTACTGTAAAAAATCTTTAGCTTTTTCAAATTAAGTGCATTCTCTAAGGCTGATGGGTATTCCACTGTTTCAAGTTCAATGTATTGTCTGTACACCAAATCAATATATGTAATATATCTCTAAATAAAGTTCTTAATGAGTCATTTTTTGTTATTAATTATAAATTTTCTACTTCACAGTTGCAAATATTTTTATAGAGGTGCACAACTCTGACTGCTGTGGGAAAGATCACATTTCTATCATAAAATCAAAGGTTTTTTGTCATTATTTGTGTTTTATAATGAGATAAAAGGAGCAAAAAAGTTTGAATGTTGAATACAAGTTTGAGTGTAATGACAATTAAATTGGAGAACGTTAGTGTTCTCCCTAAAATTGCTGGTGTTAGAGCGGCCAAGAGGTATGGGGTGTGTCCCCGTTAAAAGACACGGAGGCAGACGTCTGATCTGATCAGCTTTACTTAGACATTGGTGGTTCTAATACAAACAATAATCAATGCAACATAAATAAATAATATACATAAATATCAACAAAAAGGAATATATTCTGTAATGAGGCATGACTGTAAACAACCACACGGCAAGAATCAGCCTAGTATCTAAGCGTCATGGCAGTATTAGCCTTTGCCACTTCAAATACACAATAATCAAGGGCACCATACACCACAATGAAATGCCGTTACTCTCACCTTTTGTCATGTACGCACCAATAGTCCACTATGGTTCGGATATATAAGTATAAAGGACAGAATGACAAGCTATACGCGGTGGTAGCAGACAAGCAATAAACATTTACGCATCTCATACACAGGTGCGGTGTAATCAGCTGTGTCGGAACGCCTATGGTGCGTTCAGGAGCGTCAGACAGATGGAAACTAACCGAAGAGA